TCAAAATAAAAAACTTCTGCACAGCGAAGGAAAACAATCAACTAAACTAAAAGGCAACCTATGAAATGGAAGAAGATATTTGCAAATGACATATCTGATACAGATTAGTATCCAAAACTTATAAAGAACTTACAAAATTCAACACTCAAAAAATCAATAATCCAAATCAGAAATGGGCAGAAGACACGGAAAGACATTTTTCCAAAGAAGACATACAGATAGTCAGCAGACAAATGAAAAGATGCTCAACATCACTTATCATCAGGGAAATACAAATCAAAACTACCATGAAATTATCACCTCACATCTGTCTGAATGGCTAAAATCAACAACACAAGAAACAACAGGTGTGGCAAGGATGTGGAGAAAGGGGAATCTTGTACTGTTAGTGGGAAAGAAACTGGTGCAGCCACTCTGGAGAACAGTATGGAGTAAAAAGTTAAAAACAGAACTGCTCCACCATCCAACAACTGCACTACTAGGTATCTATCCAAAGAATACAAAATACTAATTCAAAGGGATACATGTACACTGATGTTTATAGCAGCATTATCTATAGTAGACAAATAATGGCAAGAGCTCAAGTGTCATCGACTGATGAATAAAAAGGATTATATACATAAACAACATATATAATGGAGTATTACTCAGCCATGAAAAAGGATGAAATCTTGCAATATGCAACAACATGGATGGTACTAGAGAGTATTATGCTAAGCAAAATAAGGAAAGCAAAATAAGTCAGTCCAAGAAAGACAAATACCATATGATTTCACTCATATGGTGAAATGACCAAAGAGAAAAAAAAAAGAGAGGGGGAGGCAAACCAAGAAACAGATTCCTAATGAGAGAGAACTGATGGTTACCAGAGGGGAGGTGGGTGGAGGGATGGGCAAAACAGGTGATGGGGATTAGGGAGTGCACTTGCTGTGATGAGCACCCGGTGTTGTATGGAAGTGTTGAATCACTATCTTGTACACCTGAAACTAATATTATACTATATGTTAACTAAGTGGAATTTAAATTAAAACTTAAGAAAAAAAAAGGCATCTGTACCTGACTCCTCTCTATTACTCCCTACCTATGTTATAACGAAAGTACACTAATCCTGAAACTGGAGGGGATGATTCATGATATATATATATATATATATATATATATATATATATATACAGTTAGAGAACAATAGCAATGGACTGTTGTATTATATAGAATACACAGTAGCAGAACAGAGGCTATGTCAGAAGCCAGTAAATTATACAAATTCCAACTATAATCTAGTATATGAAAGGAATTAATTTTCAAAGAGAAAATGTAAAACTATAGAAATGAAAAAAACTGAGACCAGGAAAATATATAACACTGATTCTAACAAATGTATCTGATCAAAATCTTGAAGACTAACTCAAGCTATCCATCCTTGAGGTGGTATCCATATCAGAGGTGCAGCTAAAATAAATACCTGTATCTATTCGAAGTACTATCCATGTCACATATATTCTTGAAAGAAATACCTGGACCAAGATTGCTCTATGTGGCCTTCCAGTCAATATGGCTTCCTTTAACTCTGCTTGTAGCTTACTAAATTTTTAGTGTAATGTTTTTTTTTCTTTTAACAAAAAATAAACAAGAAATTCGGCTTTTGTATGAAAGGTGGTTTCATTTGACACAGATGAAACAGGGCAATCAGAGGAAAGTAAGAGTTTGATGACTTATTCTAGTCAAGTATGAACGTATAAGAAAATAATCAATAGATGATGTGATGAAATTATGGATTTATAAATTTTCTTTGTTCATGCCTTTACATATTTGGAAAGAAGAGAAGTAAACCCTGTTGCCCCCAGGGAATGGTGACTGACTGTGGCTAGGGCATGAAGAAAAAATCCTACTCTCAAGACACAGAACACAGAGCTGGATTAAGAGTGAGGCTAAACCAGAACAGAGAACATCACCCCATTCGCTACCACCCACCTCCAGGCTATCAAACACCAAATAACAAGCAACAACAGTACTGCTAGAAGAAAGGGAAGAGTATATATATATATATATATATATATATATATATATATAGAGAGAGAGAGAGAGAGAGAGAGAGAGAGAAAGAGAGAGAAAGACATACTCTCTAAGGCTCAGTCTCACAGGGAGAGATAAAACTAAGTGTGAAACAAGAACACTGAGAGAAAAAACCTCCAGCAACATAACCCACCCTCAGCACAATGAAATACTATAGGAATTGAACCTGGTAGTACATTGAGGGTAACCATAGCAACAAGAGCCAAAACTCAGATACTCAGATCAACTCATTGCTAGGTGAAACCAAATCACATAGTAATGATCTAACATAAGAAACAGTATGCCCATTTTCAGATATAAATATTATTTATCTCAGTCCTACAAATAATTTCTTGTTTTCAACCAAACATTATGCAACACACAAAAAAGCAAGGAGGTGGGGGAATGAACTGTCAGGAGAACCAGACTCAGATATGACCCCGCTACTGGAACTATCAGACAGAAAAATTTAAATTACTATTATTAATATGTTAAATGCTCTGGTGAAAATAGGAGGACAACATGCATGACTACAATGGGAATTTTAACAGAGGGTCAGAAATAATAAGAATCAATGATCAAAGCAAATGCTAGGGGAAAAAAACCCCACAATGACAGGTACAAAAAATGCCTTTGATGGGCTCATCAGCAGACCTGACACAAATGAGAAAACAAATGGAAAACTGAAGATAGGTCAATAAATAGAAATTACCCAAACTAAAACAAAAAAAGAATGTGTGGTAGGGTGGAGACTAAAACAGGGCATCTAAGAACAGGAACTAACATCAAATGGTATAGTATTTAGGAAATTGGAATCCCAAAAGTAGAAGATACAGGACAGCTCAGAGAACACCAATCATGATAAACACCCCAAATAAATAAACAAATAGATAAACATATAAACAAATGGATTAACAAATCAGACTTCGACACTCCATGCTCAAACTGATGAAAAATATAGATAAAATATTGAGGACAACCAAAAAAATTTGACACTATATATATATATAAATACATATATATATACACATACATAAATATATCAATCACACACATATATATATAGAAGAAACAGAGATCAAAATTACAGTAAGACATTTTGTCAGAAAATATGCAAACCAAGAGACAATAAAATGACTTCTTTAAACTGCTGAAAGAAAATAAAGCTGTCAACCCAGAATTCTACATACACCAAAAAAAAAAAATCTTTCAAAATGAAAAACAAAGGTATTTTTAAATGAAAAGGGCATGAAGAATTAATTACCAGTAGATCTGGAACATAAAACATATCAAAGGAAGTTGTTTAGGCAAAAGGAATATGATACTAGACAGAAATGGAGAGCTAATGAAGAAATGAAGAGCACTGGACATAGTAAAAACAAAGATGAATACAGTTATTTTTTAAAACTTTTAACTTCTTTAAAAATAACTATCTAAAGCATAAACAGTAACATTGTATTCTTTCTTTATAACCTATATAAAAGTAAACTATATGACAATAGGAGAAAGAACCCACAAACTATTAACATCAAGAATGAATGAGAGAATTATCACTGCAGACTCCAAGACACTAAAAGATTAAAGAACAGTACAAACAATTCTATATGGACAAATTCAATATTAAAAACCATAAACTATCAAAACTCATTCAAGAATAATCCTATAACCAGGGCACCTGGGTGGCTCAGTCAGTTAAGTGTCTGCCTTCAGCTTGGATCATGATCTGGGGGTCCTGAGATTAAGTTCCGCATCAGGTTTCCTGTTCAGCAGGGAGTCTCTCTCCCCTGTCCATCTACCCCTCTCCCTCCCCCTCCCTCTCCTCCTGCTCTTGCTCTCTCTCAAATAAATAAAAAAAAATTTTATAAAAGAAAAATCATAAAACCAAAAATCCTGTATCTATTAAACTTTTTGTAGTTAAAAACCTTTCAAACGAAAGAAAATCATAAAACCAAAAATCCTGTATCTATTAAACTTTTTGTAGTTAAAAACCTTTCAAACGAAAGAAAACTTTCTGTGATGTAAAAGAAAGCTGCTTGGAAGAAGGTGGCTAATTCTGCCTAGATTTCTTTCTCTTCTTCACTGTTCAATATGGATATGCTGTTCAAAAGATAAATGCTGAATCTGCTTCACTTCAGTATACTCAGAAAGAGATCTGAAATATTTTGTAATATTAAAAAAAAAACCTGACATCAAGAAAACAAGTACTTGAGCAAAACTATTTCTACACACATCCATTAGACTGCCCAGTAAGTGACATTTATAGAATAACCCATGAGCATAACATTCAGAGTGCCTAAGAAGCTAAAACACATTTAATATATATTCAAAATATTTATTTTTTTTTACAAAGATTAATTTGAGAGAGAGTATGTGTGTGCATGCACACGCACAGGCACATGCAAATTGGGGGAGGGGCAGAGGGAGAGAATCTCAAGCAGACTTCCTGCTGAGTAGGAGCTCCACAAGGGGCTCAGTCTCATGACCCATGAGATCATGACCTGAGCTGAAACCAAGAGTCAGATGCTTAACCAACTAAGCCACCCAAGGCCCCTGAAATATTTCTATTTTAAGTATTAGTTAAATCTTTCCAAAGTCTCAGAAAATAAAATAATCTGGAAAGACTAATTTTCCAATGTGTCAACTGTTTGACAATTTTATTGATTTTAGGATTTTTAAATCATAAATTTATCTCCATTAACTCACTAGTTGAACCAAATAACAGGTAAGCAAAATATATGATGCTTTTGTAAAATAAAAAACACCTCAAAATTTTGTTTAGGGTTAGATATTTTTATATCTAATGACAAAAACTAATCTCAATTTTTTTCCTGATAACATGCCAATAATTGTCACTGAGGTTTACACAATGAATTGAAATGTTTTAAAAATTATACGAACAATACTTTCAACTACATAAGCCTTTAAGGTACAAGTAAAACAAAATTTACCTCAGACACAGGTTCTTGTTCCTTAGTGGAAGCTTCATTTTTTAATCTTGAAAACAAAATAGGTATTGAATATTTTATATTTAGGAAAATATGAAACAGTTCTTTTCTGTATGCTTAAATAATTAAAATGTAAATTTAAACTAACATAGATTTGTAAATGCCCTCCATAAATATTTTAAAGGAAAAATAAAATGCATTAAAATAAACAGTAGATTCAATAAATGTGCTAAAGAAGTTAATAGAGGCATGTATTTCCTTCTTTTCTAAAAACAAGAGCACTTAAGAAATTTTCTCTATGTTAAATACAATTATAACTAAAAGACATAATACATTAGTAAAACAGTCTCAAAAAAAGAATGATTCTTTAAAAAATAAAAGCAGGTTATATGATTAATATATATAATATGCATAAGTATTTACTATTATGGGGCTTAAAAAGTGAGAAAAGAAATTTTATCTCTTGTGAAATTCAATATAATGCTATTTCTATATTTATTACAATTAAGTGGTAAAATCACAGAAATAATTTAGAATTCTGAAGGATATAGTCTCTTAGGAACCTTCATAAGCACTGCTCAAATATTAACTACAAATTTTTTAAACTGTTTCTAAAGATAAAAAAACAAATGGTAACTTATTACATTAAAAAAGGCATATGCCATCTATAAAATCTTTTTTTAAATAGTTTCATATAAAAGCTAGCTTTCACAAAAGATCTTTTAGAAACTGCTGATAACTAAACATTATTTCCTGATATTATATATTAAACTCAATTTTAAACTAAGTGCCTACCTGATCTGAAATGCCATTAATAGTTAAGTGATTCATTACTTTATGAAGGCTTATAGCTATACTTAAAGATTAATATATTTAACATAAGCAACAAGTATACTGACTCAAATTTCATGTACAAAAATGACATATAGTAGGACAGAAACATCAACTATCCTAAAAGCTACTCTTCTCTAGTTAGTCAATGAAATCTCTGAGGGCACACTGAAAAAATTAGGTCTATAAATGCTAATGCTTTACTGGATATTAATAATAACTCATGTAAAATTATTTATCTATATTTTAGTTATTACATGAAATTGCAAACAATTTATAATACAGTGTGTCCTTTTTTGTTCTTTTATTATATTGGTAATGTACTATAATAATTTGCAACCAATTTACTAAACAAATTTAAATGAATAAAATTTGCAGAAATATTGACAAAATGCATTAATGTCGATCATTTTGGGGGTTAAAGATTTTATAATTCTTTAAAGTGTTTAATTGTGAACAACAAAATTCATAAAGATGAAATTTCACATGTTTAGTCTTTAATGATTTATACAGGAAAATGAGAGTCTTACAAATAACATGTATAAAGTCATAAGAAAACACACTATTTCTGTGATTTTACAACCTTAATTGTAATAAATATAGAAATTAGTGTGAAGAAACAAAGTAGATACTGTATTATAAAATTTTGAAATAAATTTGTATATTACAACTACTTTTTATTTCCCATCAGTTAATAATTTTAAACTCAGTTTGAAAAACTGAAACAAACTGGTCACAAAGAAGTTTAAAAAATATTTTATAAAATAATTTACCTCTCAGTATACTGTTGAAAATATTATCAAAGATCAATCTTACATTCTTACAAAAAGAAATTACCATGTTAATCATTTTTATATGGCTGTTCTAATAAACTGATTTTATGCATTTTCATTTTTAAAATGAAAGCTATCCTCTATGTTTTACTATTTCTGCTAATACTTCAATTAGAGAAACTTAGTCCTCTATCTCTGCAAGAAAGATTGGTTACAGAGTTTTTATTACCCTTCATCTTACTGGCTAAGAAACTGGTAGATGAAAACAAAATAAGTCACTGAAATAATTAGCACTGAAGGTCTATGATCCCAATCTTATTTTGTGGCTTTAACCATACTAGTATTCTTTTTTGGAGCATAATTATAATAATGAATAACCTATTTAAGAAAACAAATATTTAAAAAATTCAAAGCACACTATGTAAAATCTCCTGAGAAAAACAGTTTCTCTGAATTATCAATCACTAAACTGTACACTACATTTTTGTAACTACAAAAGCATACTTTAAGGTTAATAAATTAAAACAAAAAGATGAACAAATTTTAACACAACTACTAACACATCATTAACACTATTGGAAAAGAAAAAAAGTGTTCTTACCTGTAATTCTTATTCATTAAAGATACCTGCTGAAATAGTCATCATTTGAGATATTTAATTGCTTGGTTAGAAGACAGTGAAATTTGCTAAGCTCAAAGTTCTGAGCTAAAGACCTGCTATTAGTTAGTTACACTTTTCACCTATGAATGTTGCAATAATTTTTTATAGAAAAATGTAGTACGTTTAAAACAAACAATATAATTTCAGTGTAAAGAGAACAGAAAGATTGATGTTCAATTTCAAAATGATTATTGCAGATAAATTATTTTTTTTCTGTAGGTGAACCTGCTGAAACAGATCTTTTTGATAAAAGATAAAGGACAATTTGATAAAGGACAATTTTTTCCCTCTAAAGTTTAAAATAAAATAAGTGTCCCTTCTTGCATTTTTCTGCAGGTCACATAACTATTCCATGGCTACATGTAAAATAGATATTTTGGGTCAATTAAATTATTGTGTTCTTTTGAGGTTTTATTCATACTATATTCTACCATGGGGTATAGGGAAAAGCTATAAAGGGAAAATAGTTCAGATTCATTTCAGCCAGGCCATATTCTTTCCTTCAAATAATATTTAAAAGACCAAAATTTCAATGCTGATTTTTAAAATATAATCTTCAATTAACAATATTTGTAAGCATACTAAAAAAGCTGAAAAGTTGTATAAACCATCGGAAATCCAATCAGTTCCTAAGATCTTCCACTTAGACATTCAAGATTAAATTTAAGGTAGTAGTCATCAGACTAATAAATTGTAAAACACCTAGTGTACCATTTCTGATCATTTGTTCTGAGAAGTGTTAACAGATAATGTGGAAAGGGTAACTGAGCTAAGCATTTACTGGGCTGTACACACATCAGGTACTGTGTTAAGAGTTCTAGTCCAAAGTAAAGACATAGTCCCTCTTATCAAGGAGTTCATCATCAAGGAAACATATTGAAGGAAATGTTTAGGGAACTGTGAAGTGTTACAAAAGAGACATCTATATGATGGATTGGCTACACAAAGGACTGAGCCACTACAAAAGGGAAAGACACAAGGAAGCAGTGAAGATACTATAGTAAACTTGGTTTTGCAGAAAGAGCAGGAGTTAGCAAAGCAGAGGATGAGGATTTGAGGAAGAACAAAAGCAAAGAATTATGAAATAAGACAACAATGATATGAAAACCTGAGTGGTCTAATATGACTGTAATGCAGGGAACAAGGAGTAGTCAAAAATGCAACTGAAGAGATAGCAAGGGCAACTTCAGGAAAGATCTTGATTGCCAGGATAGAGTGCTTATGCTAAGAACTTTAATCTAAGGCTAACAGGAAAGTATGATTAAATTTGTGCATCTGAAAGAGAAAGGGTAGTATTAGAAGAGGATAGGCTCTACTCAGGAAGTCCAGAGAAGATATAGTCAATGACTGTCTCAAGTAAAGCAGAAGCAGTTTCAGTGGAGAAGAGGAAGTTTTAGGGAGATGATAAGGTTAAACCAATAGAGTAGAAGTACCAACTGGACAAAGAACACTCAAATAGAAATATTTATTACTCAGACCTGCACAGTCTTATTTACCTCATCCTTAATGAAAAAATCCAACCATCACTTCTGAACAGATAACACCAGAGTCATTATCTAGTGCTTTACCCCTCCATTTTTATTACTATTTATTTCAATCAATTCAATTTAGAAATATTACAGTATATTAGATTTAGACTTGAGTCCTAAGAGATTGTCTAACTGCCCTCATCTTGTAGATGAGAAAAATCTGAGGCCTAAAAATGCTAAAGTAATAAGCCCATTAAACAACAGAACCAGGATTAAAAGTGATGGTTCTACTTCAAATTTCCACTGCATTGCTTTACAGCCAATTCCTTTCCTGTGAATCAGGCTCCCTTACAATCATGCCAGGAAAAGTGAAAAGGCTTAACTGATTGGTCTGCTTCTGGATGTTTTCCACTCTCAAACATGCTCAGTATCATTGCCAAATTAATCTTATTAATAGACTAATTCATGCCATTGTTTGCTGAAAATGTCCTATTGCCCATACATCATAGACCTATGGCTCTAAGACTGGGGAAGTTAGATTCTGGTCCCAATGCTACAGGTATGTCAGTTGCCGCCTATGCTCCTGTGAAAACACATTGAAGCTCAGTCCCATCTAGTTCCTCAGCTAATCATAACAAGATAGGAAGTATATTTGTAATCACAAGTACAACCAGAGCAGCAATAGAGTATGTATTAGTTTGGTCTCCGAAAACAAACTGCCATAATTTAAATTGAAGCTCTCCACTTGAAAGCTATGTGACAATGAGCAAATTACTTATCTGTACCTCAGCTGACTTAATATCCATTAATTGGGACAATAACAGCAGGTTTCTCATTAGTTTGTGAGAATTAAATTAATAAATATAAAACACTTAAAAGAACGTCTGGCACATTACATGTGTTCAATAAAAGTTATTATTGACATGAGTAGAGGTGGGAGTCAACTTTACTGTCCAGAATTTTTCTTGAGAGTGTACTACAAAGCCTCTTAAAGCTTATTACCACTTAAATATCTTCCATATTTTGAGATTTTCCTGCAATTACTTTCCCCAACTCCCAAACTGAATCCAATAGACATTAGTTTGATTGGGGCCTACTCCTGTTAGGACCAGCCCTATTTGCTCTCCTAAAAAAATTATATACTCATTTCTGAAGGCTTAGGTATGATCTAAAGTTAGGCAAGATAGAGTTTTAAAAAAAAATCATTCTAGATAGATAGAAGAAAGAACCAATTTGAGGTAGGAAATTGAGAGAAACAAAAATATTTGTGTGTGAGAATGTTAAGCAGAAGAAATAAGACCATCAGAGGAGGCAG